AGGGAGGGATGTGGTGAACAGAGCAGGGAGGGCATTTTTGTAATTGCATAGACAAACTATGTGGGACTTCATAGCAATTTGTAAATTTCATGAGATTTTAAAGTAATTAGAATTACTATGTGGGACCTAACAATAATTCTCCCTAAAAAATTATGAAAACTATAATACTTAATGTAAGGCTTACATATGGAGATTTTAAAATACCTAACGGGTCATGGTTGTATGACCATTGATTATTTCAAATTTTTAATTTAATGGAGCTTCTAATAATATTTTGAAAGCCAGACTAATTATTGAATTAAAAAAGTTAACAAATCATTGTTTTCATAGTTCAATTAGTTCAATTGGTGGTCGAACATAATTGGTAATATAATAATTAAACAAAAAATAATATTAAATACATATAAAATGGTCCAATTTTATAGTTTCATACCACGATTTAACTAGTCATGATTAAATTAACTAACATATATGTTATTTTATACTAATTAATTTAAATGAAAATGAAAATAAATTTTAAATATATAATATATATCTATAATCTTAGGGTGGTTTTTCAATCTGTTTTTTTTTATTTCTTATATTTTTTAAATTTTGGAAAAATTATTATTTGATTTCTATATTTTTAATTTGGTTATCATTTAGTTTCTAAACTTTAACTCACTATAACGAGTCCTTATAATTTTAATTTGATTATAACTCAATACCTGCACTTTAACTCAATACAATCTAATCCTTATACTTTTAACTGTTTAAAATACTAATCCCTATATTTTAGCAAAATAAAATTATAAAGGCTACAATTATTTTTAAATTCAAGGTTAATAATACAAATTATTAAAATCACATAAATTGAGTTGTAGCGAGTTAAAACTTAGAGGCCAAGTTGAATACTATTAAAATTATAGAGATTAAGTTGTACTAAGTTAAAATTGAGGGATTGAGTTACAATCGAGTATAAAGTGATTAATTTTCTCTTAAATTTTTATATGAAATTTTTTAATTTTGATGTAGTAAAGGATGGGACTTGTGATAAAGAAATACGTGTAGGACTTATAACAAAAATGAGTAATAAATAAGAATCTTGCATTGAAAAGTGTATGTCTGAAACTAGCCAAGAAATTATAAATTGAATGAAATTAATATGTATATATTTCAATTTCATATCCTATTTACATTTTTTAAAATTTTATTACAATGGCTTGTAGGAAGTAATAACTCATGAGCTGCAATGTTGCTGGCAAAAAAATATGAGCTATAATGTTAAACTAGATAGTTTTTCATGTGTTGCACAGGTTAAATTTAAAAAATTTGAAACAAACACTTTGGATACTATTTATATCGACACATCTAAGATTGTTAAATTTTTAAAAGTTTCTCTATTTAATCATTTTTCTTATTCTTGAATGATGCAACAAAATGTGAATTATGTACTTTTTTTATATTTGAAATATATAAAACATAATTATCTTTCTTATTTTGATTTCATGTTTATAGCGTATTGCCGGAAAAATTATAGCACAAATATTTTTTCATTGAAATTGCATATAATTATATGTCTAATAAGTTAAAAGTGAGAGAATTAATCTTTGTAAATTGCTAAGGTTTGATACAAGAAAATTGTAAGTAATAATATAGATATAACCAAGTAATATAGGTAAACAATCATTAACGATATAAAAAAAGTAATGCATGGGATATTAACCCTCCTTTTTTGGAAGATTGGAAGGATATAGAGAGGTGATTTTAGTGAGTTCAATTTAAAAAAAAAATATGATGTGATTTATATTAAAATTAGACTGGGCCAAATGGTCAAGCTGGACTGGACTTCAGACTAAGATATTAGACTTCTCAGTCTGGTATAATATATAATATTTTATAATATATGTACATTATATTATATTATATTCATCCTTTGCTTTTGTTATGCAATTAACAAGTAATTTAGTTTTTTTTCTAGAATAATTGTTAAAAAGTCTTATTATGGTATTAACAAGTCAAGTTGCACAATTAACAAGTATTGTTGTACAATTAACAAGTAAAGTTATATAATTAACAAGTAATGCAATTCAATTGAATGAGTCATGAATTTGACAAGTAAATTCAAGTAATAAACAATTTATGCTAAGGTATTAACAAGTACAATTACGCAATTAGCAAGTAATGTAGTTTTGTTTTGAGAGTCACGGACTTAATAAGAAAAGTTAAGCAATTAACAAGTTCTGTTAAGGTATTAATAAGTATAGTTACACGATTAACAAGTAATATAGTTCTGTTGTGGGATTCATGGGGTTAATAAGAAAAGTTAAGTAATTAACAAATTTTGTTAAGGCGTTAACAAGTAAGGTTACGCAATTAATAAGTAATATAATAATTAAGTGATTTGGAAACAAGGTTTATTATAAATAAAATTTTATGTATCACATAATTGAATGGATTTAATAGTTTGGTGGTTCAAATTTTTTTTTGGTGAGCCAAGTGGTCATAAATTCTACACCCATCTTGACCACTTTTGGAGAATTTAATTCTCCATAATTCCCTGGCTATTGTCGGCGATGGTCCAACCGATTATTAGAGCTCCAGTAGTGTTCTTGCAACGACAACTAGTGGTTTTTTAACATTTGAATTAAGGGTATTTTCATTTTTTCAACATTCAATTTATTTTCAATTTAATCTTGGAGGGCTAAATTGAAGTTTTAAAATCTTTAAGGACCCACAAGAAACCATGTGACTTCCCAGATCCTTAACTAAAATTTTCTTTAAAAAAAAAACAATTATACTCTAGAAACCAACCTAGTAGCCTAGAGAAGGTCTAATCACTAACCTAATCCAATTCTGTATTTGTACAGCCCTACGTACCACCTCTTTTTTTATCTCTTTTACTTTCACCATCGCCATCATTTTAAGGATTAAACTTCATTGCATCTCTTTGTTGTCGCCTTAAATCTACCTGTTGAATCTTCATTGTCGCTTTAGATTTCCTCATCAAACTACACCATCGCTCCAATTTCTAGTCTCTCCTGCCCGTCATATTTTTCCAAGAATGGAAGCACGAAAAAAGTAGGATTGGAGTTTGAGCATTCTTTCTTCTTTTAATCTTCTTCTGTTGCTTTTATTTGGGAATTTATTGATCCTTTGTACATTCATAAGAACATCTTGGGTATTCTAGGTTTATGATTTTTTGTTGTTATACCATACACCCTAGTTTTCCATTTTTGTTTGATTATATTTATGGAATGTGATGTGGCTGTTTAATATTGATGCTTTGGTTCTGATTCAATGTTTATTCTGGTCGTCATATTGTTTATGGATATTTTTTTTTGGGTTATTGAGTGATTTAAATTTGGTTTTGTTAGCTAATTTTTTACTCTGATCTAATTCCTTCTATCATGATTTTTTTTTGGTAAACAATTCCTTCGCCCTTTTTTTCCTCAGATATTTTGTTATTTTTTTTCCTGATTTCATTTTGGAAATTAGCTTTTAAGGATATCATGGAAAATATATTGTTCACTGCATGTCTACAGCGATGAACCGACCGCACTTAAGATATAAAGGGTGAGGGTGTTAATGTAAATATATATCATTATACTTTACAATATAGATAGATAAAGGGTGAGGGTATTAATGTAAATATACATCATTATACGTTACAATATAGATAGATTTAGTTCTGCTTCTTTTATTAATAAATTACAAACAGCTAGAATGCCCAAAAAAAAAAAAATACAAACGGCTAGTTATAAGTATTAAATTCATGAGGTATAATGCTAAATTTATAATTCTAAGTTTAACAAATTTAATTTATAACAAATGACAAAATAAAAATTAAATTAATTATCTAATGTTTAGATTTATTAAGGAAATCATTGGCAAAAATATGGGAGCATCCTTATGAATCAATCAATTTTTTTGGGGATCAATCAAACATTTAACTAAAAAATCCCGTTAGTGAAAAAAAAAAGTTAAAATCAATAAATCAATCGATCTAATTAATAATGATACTACTAGTAAATTAAATTTACAACAAACTGCCAGTAATAAATCATTAACTAATGTTTAGATTCTTTTTCTAGTTTTTTATTGAGGAAATTATATAAGTAACGTCCAGAGTGCTTATTTCATTTAATTAGTTATATAAATATTTAATATATTACTTATTTTTTTAAAATCATTTTTCAAATATTCATATAAATACCCCACATTTGATGATATCTTTGTGATTTCTTTTGTTAAAAGAATCTATTATTTTATTATTTTAAAATTTTATGATATTTTTAATATTTTTATAATTTTACAAATTTTTTATTATCTATTTTAAAATTTTATGATATTTTCATATATTTCTATAATTTTACAAATTTTTTTAATTATCTCATGGTTCTTTTACAAAAAATAAAAAGAGCTATACGGTTTTCAAAATAATAAAATATTTTTTTTAAGATAATAACTAAACAACAATCATTTATCAATAAAAAGTAATATAATTTTAACATAATTGGATTGGATGTCATTGTATTTTATAAATGGAGTTATGAAGACATATTATTTATCACGTATAACTATAAATAAAAAATTCATTACTAATCAAAAGGTAAAAAGTAAATTTAACTAGTTACTTTTAATTAACAAGACAAAAATATTATATAGAACAAAACAACAACGAAAACTATTCAAGATTTTAATAATAATAGAAATAAAATAATAATAATGATAATGATAATAACAAGTATAGCATCTCTTCTTAGTCGAAACATGATCACTTTTCTTTTACATTTATATTTTACGTTCAGGTTTTTAAACTGAGCCCCCCCCCCCCCCAACTGTCAAATATTAATCTCATTTACTCACATTAATATTTAATAAATATTTACTATCCTAATTAAAACTAATTAAACTTATTTCAAACTTCGGGATACCAACGTCTATGAAGATTCAAGAATACTAGAATACCCACCGCCTCATTTGTCGACTCCTCACTTCCCCCTCGCTCCCTACCGCTCTCTCAAGAATGCCACCGCCTTATTTTCTTTTTCTCCGGCGACCTCGCTTCGCTAATTCGCTCGTCCCGGTTCCCTCCTCCAGATTGCTTTTTGTTTCTAACCGATGATCACCAAGAATGGAGGATTCCCTTTTCAAATCTGGCTCTCTGGCACAGGGGCGACGCTCGGATCGTTTCAGTCTTTGTAATCTTACACGCTGGGGTTTTCATAGCTACCATGCTCCTCAATGGAGGACTCCTTTTTAGTTTGCTCGTCCCGGGTCCCTCCTTCAGATTGCTCCGGTAAGGGTTTCAATTTTCCCATGTGGGTTTCTTTTGATTTGGGTGAAATCTTTTTAAATATTGAACAAACTCCACAATCTGTTATATGAAGTAAATGTATTATCAGATTCTCTCTCTTTTTTTTCTCGACCCCTCCAGGTCCCAGCCTTCTTTCTTGTACTGCTTCTCAACACTCAAGTTTGATTTTTTTTAATCCACAAAAAACTTTGAATGTGTAACAATGTATTTGCTTGAACCAACATTATTATGTGCCAATTACCAAGAAGAAAGCAGGCTTATTGAGAGGGCATGTGGAATATCGGCCTCTCGCCTTCGAGTGAGGAGGTCATATTGTGGGATTCCAGAACCTTCAACTATTACGTTCTGGCAAAAAAGAGACCCGGGTGCAACTTGCACTCTAGTCCCATTCTTTTCTTTAGTTTCTAGAGGAGGCCTGATTTTTTTGACACTTGACAGATTTATTATTTTTCGATTTGTTCTCAGGAGAAAAGGAACAGGGATGGAACTCGATCCTCTGAATCGCTTAAATTGTGTCCCCTAACTTTTCCCCTTTTCCACGTATTGGACTGTAGCATAGCACCCTGCAAAACCCAATCCAATTAGGCCCTGAACTCTAAATTCTAAATTTAAGTAAAAAGAAGATGATGATGAAAAACCAATCTCACAACTCAAAGTGACAAATGTTCACACACCTAAATAAATGATTAAATTTTCAGCTTGCGTGTTGAAATAAATCAGGTTTAAAATGATTTATGTTGAAATTTATTTCTAGTTTGTTTAATCCTATCATAATTTGCTGATTATTGAATCAAGCATGGCGGTGCTCAATTACTTGTTCTCCATAGAGAAAAAAATGTCAGTAAAATTAAATTTGGAGGAGGAGAGGGCAAGGGCGAATGGAGGTCGAGGACAGAGTAGTGTGAAGGCGATGCTACCTGACGACAATAAAATTTGGAGGTTAGTGAGGACAAAACAAGCGAAGAATGCCCTGGTGTCATCTCCTGTGCTGATATTGTAGCCATTGTTGCTCGTGACTCTATTGTTCTTGTGAGTTCACTTTGCACATAGACGTAGTTTTCACTCTCTCTGATTAATTAATTAATACATCCCTATATATCAAAAGATTTAATAACTAATTCTGTCATATATTTAGTTATATTGAAGCTTGGAGGACTTGCCTGGAAAGTAAAGCTGGAAAGAAGAGATTCAAAGACAGCATCTAGCTTGGCTGCTGCAAACATTAAATCTCCTTTTTCTTCACTCAGCACTCTCATCTCCAACATTAAATCTCACGGCCTCTCTGCTAGGGGACATGGTTGCCTTATCTGGTATTCCTACTTCTCCATTTATTCCCTTTCTGTAGAATCAATCTTATGTATGTCTGTGTATTGAGGTGTGCTAGTAAGTGGGACATAAATGTCACATTTTTATCAATGACGAAGATACCTATTTTATGTCTCCTCGTTTTAGTTAAAAGCCTCGTCACTTCGATCAATGAAGAAGATGAGCTTTGATATTTTTATTCATATTGAGCAATTTTTTTAGTAACTTTGTAATGAAGTATTTACTGTTATTTACCAGATATGAAGAAAGTTGCCTTGATTAAAAACTCTAGCTTTTTGTTCTGTTGTGTGAATTATTGGTCATTTATTTAAAATCACTCATATCCATTACAAATCCATCAGGCATATATATTTTTAATAAAATTATAATCCCATCAAATCCGTATATTGTTGATCAATGAAATGAATGAATTTATATATCATCATCATAATTCAATTTTCATATATTTTTCATTTTACCCTCACAAAAATTAAACACTTCAGTAGGAAGCCAATGAGTCTTGGTCTCGTAATATTTTTTAAGAATAGCACTCTAGTATGCACTTTTGATAATATCTTTTCATTTTATACTGACTTTCAATTCTGCATTTGATTTTATTAGGTTTCTTTGGATCCTTTGACCTTAAGAATCTGTTCAGTAAAAAAAAATTGCCCTTCGTCCTTTCATAATTTTAATTTATACCTTTGGATGCATACATACTTACATGCAGTTAAGTCTACTCATTATAATAATTTTACTTATTTCTTTCTCTTTTTTTGCCAAAATATTACTTATTTCTTTTAATTTACAAATTATTCACTTAAAATAAGGTTTAATAATTAATTAGATCTTAGATTGGGTAGCACTTATGAGTCAATCGACTTTATGAATTGAATGAGGAATTTTGGTGATTCATTAATAATGTGACTATTGTTTGTTTTAGAATTCTCACGGCATGAATCTTTGAATCTCTCTTGCCATAGTCATACTCAAAGTTTCATGTTTTTGAACAGATCTTGATATTGATGTTGAGCATATCTTGAAGGATTGCATGTTTGGTTGTTTGAGATCACACCTTCAACTTTAAGTGCTTGAAGCACTTTAAATTAGGTTGCATCCTCTCCTTCACTCTTACTTATCATATTGCTTGTTGATTTCTCTGATTGGGAATTGTCTAAGTGAGGGGGAGGTATCCAGTGGGAAAAGCTAAAAAAAAAAAAAATCCATTACATTTAGTTTGGATTGCATTTAGGTTTTTTGACATTTTGAAGCTTTTTTTCTCTTAGTTGTTGCATTCATTTAGGTTGATAAGTTAAGTTTGTCGGGATTGAAGGCTGTAACATTTAAGAGTGTATTTTTGAAAGGGGGGGAGGGGAGTGTGTTTTAAGTCATTTTGCATGGTTTTATGAGTTGGCCAAAATTTTTCTGATTCTGTTTTTGAAAAAGCTTTAGAAAATTAAATAAAAGTTTTGTTTTGATTCAAGGATGCTTGGTTTGATAAGATTGCCAATGAGATTTGAAGCATTAGACTTGGATGTTTCAAGTGTAGCTAGGATAGGATAGAATGTTCTACTTGGTTTGCTTGAGCTAGGGGATAACATAGCCCATATGGAAGGTTATTTTGAGCCTATATTGATTCCTTTCTAGTGTGAATGATCCACTTATTCTATTTCATTCTTCAGAACTTGTTCTTATTCTTTATCATAGCCAGTTTTGCATATGTATTGTGAAGATGATAAAGGCATTCGTATAAAATAGCCAGTCTAGCCAAATAGCCAACCTAACATGATTGTATCCTTTGCTAGCCACTTTGAACCTATTGGTTATTTTCTTTCATTCCATTCATTATTTACTCCCTCATGCTTTCCAGGAATGCAAGTTATGCTATATTATTGTTGGGATCCATTTGCATGTCTAGTATTCAAGTTGTGGATAATCTGAGTTGTATTGAATATTCGATATAAATTGTGAATGAATTGAAGGCGAAAGTTGAAATGATTGTTTTGCAGCAGCTAGAAAAAGAAAAGAAAAGAAAAGAAAACAAGGAGAAAAGGCCAATAAAAAATTGTCAAAAAGAAAAGAACACAAGGAGAAAAAGCCAAGGGAAGATTGTCAAAAAGAAGGAAAAAAAAAGGCAATAGGCAATGTGAAAAAAATGTGGAAAAAAATAGAAAGAAAGAAAAAAAAAAAAGAAGAAAAGAAATAAGAGTTATTGTTTGCTTAGTTATGAATCACCTTGCTCTTAATTGATTAGTATTGTATGTTTTCCATGTCTTGAACCTAGCTTATGCTTATGGATCCCATGTCATTGGTTTGGGAAATAACTGTTATCTATGTGTTATACCCTTTTTCTTTTCACTTGCATTCCTACATCCGCTTTTCACCCTTTACATTACAACCAAATGAAAGACCTTTTGATTCATGTATGCATTATGATAATAAGTGGTGGAGATTTAGAATATGTACAAGCCTATGATAGAATGATTAGATAAGTGGACTTGAGTGAAATTTACCCCTAACTGCTAGTGAGATGAGAGTAAACACTTTTCTTTGTGTGGTTATCTGCCTATCCAAGTTTAGTGGGTTTGATTCCTGAATATTCTAGTTGCATGAGAATCATTTCAGGTTGAGCATGGAGAATCGAATTGGCATAATTATCATTCTGAGCATGATGAACTCATTAATGTTTTCTTGATGAGTGATATTTCTTACCTTCTTTTCACCCTCATTTTTGTTGGTTTTTGTCACTTAATCTTCACAAAAATGAGTATTTTAAAACACTGAGCTATGATTTTGGGATTTTTAAGGTCAAAAGTTTTGGGCCAAAATTGTAATTTTCAAAGATACGTTCAAAAAATTCTCAATTTTTATTGGTTGAAAGAATTTGAGTCATACATTCCTAGGACGAGTTAAGCTTGAGTTCATTCTTCCTAGTTAAGGAATAAATCACGCATTGCTTTAACTTAAGACACTTTAATTACTTAGTTTAGCTACTTCCTTGTTTGCCTTCCAGCTTATGTGTCTGTGTACTGGGTTCAGAACTAACTTTGGGAATAATTGAAGTTTTAGGCTATGAAATTTTCTTATTTAAATTAACTAACATTTATAACAATTAATTTTTCTTTCCACTCTACCTCTTTTGTTGCATGTCTCCCTTCTCTCGTGATGGATTTTTTTTGAAGAGCTTGAGTCTCTTCAGTGAACAAGCTAACCTGAGCCTATGTAAGAACCGATTGGTATCATTGAAGGGCAAGCTAACTTGGATGCACAATTTAATGTAAGTTTTTTTTTTTTTAGGTTTTTTAGGGAGTTTGTTCATTTTTTAATGTCAGGAGTTGATTTATTTTATTTTCATATGGAAATTTTTTCTTCTCTATTCTTGAGGTGTTCCTTTTGCTACTTTAAATTTGAGATGTCTTTGGATATGGAAGTATTTTGCACTAACTAGGTATTAAACAGTAGGTTTCATGATGAGGGTAATTTTTAGGATGAATATTATGTTTGAGTTGGTGGAAGATGTCAAAATGAGCATGTTGAACAATTGACTTATGTCTTGGAATGTTATCCAATGGTACTCTAGCTATAGTTTGAACTATGCATGTAGTTATTGTATGTCTTGGTCAATGTTAAAGGTGATCGCTCGCCTTTGTGCCTTAGGCAGCACAACGCAAAACATTCTCATCCTCTCATGTGAAGAGAGGCGATGGGTTCACATAGGTGCTCACAAGGCGCACCTTTCTTGAGAGAAAGGCAAGCCTTTTGGTGCCAAGTTGCGATTTCTCTGCATAAATTATTCATGATGTATAGTGTGACAATTTTTCAAAGTATTTATATGAAGGTTAAGTGAATTTATACTGATCATTGTATCTATAATTTATGTTAGTTCAAAAGTTAAATTTATTATGTTTATTTGGCTCCACTTCCAGCAGATGAACTTGTAGTGCCTTCCTGTTTTTTTTTTTTTTTGGGTTTTGCTGTCTTCGTAGTTTTTTTCAGATGTGTGTGGAAACTATGGATAATTTTCTAGTCCCATATTCTAAATATGTGATATTTTAATATTTATATTGACTAATTTCCATGTAAAGTATTTAATTTAATAAATTCATTAATTTATATTTGTTATAAATATTTATTATTTAATATAATTAATGTTAATAATTGTTGATGATTGTTTTCTTTTCCTCCTGCTTTTATTGCATCTTCTCCTGCTGCTGCTGCTTCTTTTTCTTACTAATCTTTTCTTTCAATTGTCTTTACTTTTCTCTTTGTAATTTATTTGTAATTCATGTGAAATTGCTTGAAATCTTTCCTTATTTTTTGCCCATCAAATCGTGCTACTTTTATATTTTATATGATTTCATATTCAGTTTAAAATATTTAAATTAATGAATTTAATAATTTAAGTTTGCAATACCAAGGCCATTCCTATACTTCTGTCTTCTATTTTCTTACATATCAGATTGTGCATTAGTAGCAATTGGTTGCTTAGTTTGTAAAATTATATTTTTTGAATTGTGACTTATTTCATTACCTAATATGTAAGATTTCAATCATCCTCTCTTGGTCCTTTATAGGTGAATAATTTATGTGTATTATTTTATATGCCTTTTCCCCTCTCTTTTTCCTTATAACATAAGGTAGAGAATCTATGTTTCTTTCTGTTTCTTTCTATTAATGTTATTAAAGTTGGTTTTTGCTCATTCTTATTTTTTTTATTATTTATATTACAATCTAAATCTAACCATTCCTATATATATTTGTCTAGTTTCATATTATGCTAACATAACTTCATCTGGTTCTAACATATTTGTGTTATTTGTGTATTCATATTCTTGTTTATCCTTTTCTTCATAATTGTTCTTGTTGATCTATTTCACTCTTTGATTTAGCCATATTTTATTTTTCTTTTTATTATTTGGTATATATTCTTGTAAAATTATTTCTGCTAATCTATCATTTTTCTTATAATTTCCTGTAATTTAAATTATTCTTTGAATAATTAATTTTTCAATTATTTTCATCATTTACTTTTTTGATTCATATGATATAATGCTGCACTCTAATAAGCATTAGTATATATAATTCATATTACATCATTATTTATTGGAATTGATTTTTCTTTATTTTGGTTTATTATTTTTATTTTTCTTTATTTTTTTATTTAATTGTGGAAATTTACAGAATTATAAGGAAAAATGGTAGATTAACAAAAATAATGATACAAGAATGTAAACCAGATAATGAAAAGAAAAAGAAACTATTTTCTAAATGGTAAAGGTTAGGGTTTGATTGTTAATGGTTATTTTCAATTCATAGAAGTTATGAGTCTAACTTAAGTAGAGTTAATGAAAGTAGATTAGATTAAGTAAAATTTGATATTTATGGTTTTATGATGATTGATAGTTAGAGGATATTTCATAAATTTGGTGGTTGGGAATAATGTCGTTTTTGTTACGAAAGGGAGAAGTCCAGTGAAAGCTAATAGCTCCGCTGGAAAGGCATTGAAAGGGGATTTAGACTTAGTTAACCTTGGCGTAACCTCACCCTCAATTAATTGAGAAGTAAGATAGGGCGAATTGAATTAGGTATAGCTTTCCAGGTTGGCTTTTAAGTCAGCCATTAGCGCAAGTAAACAGTAAGCAAGAAGCTACCTCATATATGCTATATGAGTGACTTCGTGCCTATAAGGGGAGTCACGAAGTTCTCGACTGTAAAGAAAGAGAGGGGTGATATAGGATTTTTGAAGGCAATCTAATGTGCACAGCTTTGGAAGAATTTGTACTTTCACTAACCCGAAGGTCTGTACCAAGCTATTAATAAGCGAAAGGCCTTTAAAAGATCGGTTGTATCTTCTTTAGTTAAAAAGGAGCTGCTCATTCATGTTAGTGTAGAGGATCCTTCTCACGAGTTCGAAATGGAAGACTCGCGAGTGAAGTACATTCTACCTTTGATAGTCTCTGATGGTCTAACTAAGGAGGTCTTTTTGGTCTACACTACCTGGTTAAGCGGATTCGTGAGTTAGGGTAAAAGTTTGGTTTGTTCTTTGTTGCTTTATATTTAAAACAAGTGATGCAGTATTATTCCACTACAGGAAAATACCTTACTCCCTATCTGTTTTCATCTCTCTAACCCGTTTCGGTTTGTCTCGTATCATTTCTCCCTGTCATCGAAATATGATTAGTAAGAGGGATGACAGGGCAGATGTCTTGGTGAGAGTGACCTATCGATGGGTCCCGTGCGATTCGATTCAAGACTGCTTTCTTATTGGTCCCACAGGTCACTTCACTTCTCTTGAAGAAGGGAAGAGGTAGTCTTACCTCTTCCAGCAAGTCAAAAATTGCTGACATGGGCTCAACTGAAGTCGAGGAGCTATCTAACTAGAAAGCAGTTCTTGCTCCGGTTTCAAGGAATCCCTAAAAAGCCCGGGTCAAGACTAGACTAAGAGTAGGTGTGTAAGCAGCTAATCCAATAGTGCTTTTTACGGAGAAGTCTTTCAAGTCATTCGATTAGGGGCACTAGCTACCTTTTTCTAGATTTGTGGCGAGAGGCAGGAAAGTTCGTCTATATCACAGCTTGAGACGAGACCCAGGGGGCAGTGAGCGTAGTTTACGGAGCAGGAGTCATAGTTCCATTAGTGAAGGAATTCGAACTATTAGCGGCCCTCTTCACTCTTGCTATCACTACTGCCACTAGAACGCTTGCTACCCACGTTGTTATCTTAGCCGAAGTCCACTCATCTATCTCTTCCTTTGCAACCATTTGTATGGGCATTTTCGCTGGCTCACTCGTCCCAGCGATCAAACAAAGCAGAAAGGTCAAGTGAAAGGATTCGGCTCTTTGCTCCCTTCTTAGCATTTTAGCTTGGGAGAGTTTTTGCATATTATGAATCAAATGATAACAAGAGGAATGTAATATAATAAATAGAGTTAGATGAACTCTATATGCTTCCTATGCATTCTTCCTCCTAAGAAAAGGTCCATCGAGAAAGCAAAGCTGACTTAGTTTGCTGGATTTTCGATATTTCTACTAAGTCGATCAACCCGTAGGCTTCCTTGCCCCACTAAATAGGATTGGGCATCCCGATTTTGATTGAGAAAAAGGCCAAGATGAAAATACGTTGCTGCCCGAAGTGTAGGGAGAGGGCTTCTGCCATGTCTAGTCTAGGTATTTTTATCTTTTCATTGATATTGCATGTGCGTAAGAAATATTCTTCGTAATCTCTAAGTAAGCCATCCTGCGTTTAGTTCCTCCTTGGAAGTCGACGTCTTTCTACAAGCCATAAAAATTCTTTGACCTTTACCACCTAGAGCAAATCCTGTCTAAGTAGAATCCCCTAGTAAGTGCAACTACCCGGCATAAACGCGAGATCTTCTCTTGCCAGTGAATAGGCAAGCTTCTAGAGAATTCAGAATTGGGCCAAGATGTTCGCTTGGCTGTTAGGGGCTAGGAGAAATCTCTTCTTTCCTTTGTTAACTGGATATACAAAGTTGAAAGTAGGTATCTACTTGAGCTTTTTTTTGGGCTATCTAATGTCCTCTTTTGCGAGCTCTTTGCTGTTATAGAGAATGTAAGTGGTGGAGAGGATGAAGTATCAATCAATGGAGGGCGATTCACTAAGAATATTAATACGCTTTAGTGGGAGGCGGAAGGCTGATTAGTTAGATCTCGCCATCCTTATTTTTCCAACCCGATTGAGGTTGGATCAGGAATGATTAATTAGCTTTTCCTGTGTTGGTTAAGGCTGAGTTTATAGTTTCATTTTCTCTTAGCTACGAATGACCCAGGAGCAAGCACTAGCAAAACGTGACGAGAAAGGGTAAAAAATACCTAGGTTCCTGCACCCAATCCTGCTCTTAGGCCACTAAGAAAAGAACAAGGATTGACTCTTCACTGAAGAATTGCAACAGCAAAGCAAAGTAAAAGGCTAACGAATACAATGCCACTAAAATTTGAAATACCACCGATTCAATAGTGAATGAAACGAATAAAGCATTATACTCCTATCTCAGATGAGACCACTTTCCTACTTCATTCATTTTACTTTGGCCGGAAGAAATGAAACCTTCTATAGCTCCGGGAGCTGCTTTCACAGTAGACACGTGCCCTTACCTTAGGAGCAGTTGGAATGTATCTTTCTTCATTTGTAATTGGACAAATTTGAATTTCCTTCTGTTGGGCTGACCCTTGCTTGCCCCTGACTCCTAGCTTTTGCCTGCTTTTTGAATTCCTCCTTGCTTTCGACGTGGGTGACTGCAATAGGTGCCCTTTCATAGAAAG